AGAGACTAGAGAGAGAGGTCGATAAGATAAGTGGGAGATGCTAAAATGTGTTGTAAAATATTTTTGGGCTGCTTGATAATGGGTCATGCATAGAGGCAGAGAATCTCTCAGAATATCTCAATGAATATTGATTAGTGGCAGCTATATAAAGACACCCAACTCTCATTGTTATCGAGCACAACATATATAAATAAATAAATAAATATATAAGTAACATCTGTTTGCGTTGCGTTCGAGTGTTTTAGGCTCGTAATTTAAAATCAGAGTAAGCACGAACGAAATTAATTGCTAGCTGCCATTCCGAGGCAACAGCCAGAGATTTACCACCTCGATCAGTGCAGCAAATCAGGCGAGAGAGATAGAGCGAGTGAGTGAGGGAGAGAGAGAGGAGGGGCAACCCCTTAATTAAAACGCCTGCTCATTAATTGCGCACGTGACGTTGGCCGCTCATTAACTGGGTTCACGTTGAGCGGGACATAGTTTGGTATTCGGTAACATTTTGGCCAAAGTTTTTGGCGGCCAATAAAAAAAAAAAAAAGTAGAAGAAGAAATACACAAAATAGGAATGAGGGTCAGCGCAACATTATGTAAGGCAAATCCTTTTGGCAATTAGATACTTGCAACCAATAAGAGCAAAGTGGCACAAGCACAAACGTGGCCTGGCTGGCGTAGCACCGTTGCTGGCGACACCCCCACAAATAGCTCCAATGCCAGCGCCAGCGCCAGTATCGTCGTGGTCGACATCGCATTTCGTAGTGCAAATATCCCATTACTCGGATGAAACTTTTAATTAAAAAGTTACCAATGACAAACGGAAGGGGCGTGGCGGGCCGGAGGGGGGCGAGCGTCTGCGGCGAGCTGAAACTTTGGTGTGCCCTGAGAAATGCTCTACGACCATATCGCAGTCTTAATATTTTGTTGGGGGCCAGTGGAGCGAGTTGTCTCAGTCTGGCACGCACGTAATTGAGACAAACTTTGAGACAGTAAAACACTCGTGCAATGCCTCAGGACGGTGCTACCCCCGCTCCTGCTGCTGCTGCTGCTGCTCCTGCTCCTGCTGCCTCTGTTACTGGATGCCAATGAGAAAATTACGACATTTAAACCCGGAGGTTAAATGCACGTGAAATATTAAGTTTAGTTGCATGAGAGCACACTAAATCTTCTCCTTGTGAGCCATTTGTTTGTTGTATTCCCTCGCCTCGCCTCGCCTCGCCCACGCCCTCTGCATTGCGGACATAGCGCTCAGCGGCTAATTATGGCCAGATGGAGCTAAGCCCTTGCTGCAGCAGCATTGTGGAACGCTAAGCTCCGGCTTGCACAACATCTTGGCTTTGATAAATTTGCGTGCCAACAATGCTGCCTCTCTCCCCCTCTCTCCCCCTCTCTCCCCATCTCTCGCACTCACCCCCTAAGCATTGACCATAACATTAATCGGCCAAGGGTCAGGGCTCATTTTCGAACATGTTGGGTAGACTGGCGTGTAGAGTGGTTTCCGAATGGCAACAGGGCTTTAAGCCAAGATCTTCTTTGGCCCAAAGTGAGGCCATACAATGAAATCGGCCACAGTCAGCTCTATTAGGCATTGTATGAGGGAAGTGCAGCGATTGGAATAGCAACGAAAACCGGATTTTCTGTGCCTGCGGCAATCGGCCTGCTGGCGGCTTATTATGCTGCCAATGGCAACGGTAAACGTTGCGATTTTGCAAAATAATCAGAAAAGGCTCTCAACATTTTACGTAAAATGAAAATGTACGGAAAGTGCACTGCAGCAGCACATCAGCTGTGCGCCCATCGGGCAGGGCGGGGCATGGTGGGACGGGACGGTGTGTTGGAATGGGGCATTATGCGTAGCCTGGCGGCGCGTGGGCCTGGTCAAGCAGCTCAAGCGAGACGATTGAAACGTTCCGGCAGCGGAACTGCTGTGGTTGCCATGTTGCTGCTTTGTTGCGTTATCTAATTACAAAGGAATTGTGCGGCAGTGTCACACAATTTTTGGTCTGCCACCATTGTTTGGACTCGGTTCCACAGTATCAGCAAAAATATTATTTTGCTCATTTGGCAGAGTGGAGGCGCACTCTCGATGCTCTACGACTGCCTCGAATGGCCATGGACATTCGAATTGATTTTCAATGAGTTTTGG